ATGGGCTTTCACATGGATTCTGTCCTCAGCCCTAAGGGAAGGCTCCTGGCATTTTCTTCCCTGATGTACCCCCCCACATCACAACTTGGCTGTTCCTATGCCTCACTTAATTCATCACTTCCAGTGCTTGCAGGCAGTATAAAAAGTTGATGGGCAATTATATTCATGTCAGCGGTGACAATGGGTTTCTTCCTATACCTGATGTATAGCTCCTTTCGTGTTATGAATAGAAAAAATATCTATATTTAGTTGGCTTTCATTGTTTGGCAAGAAAGTGTTTTTGAAAGGAAGTGTATATAAAGTGGGTAAGTTTATTTTACTTTCTACCACAGACCTCTTGAAGTATTGTCTCAAGCTGTGTTAACTGCTTGAGATGCTACAGTGTAAGTTTTTTAAATAGCTATTGGCACACCTCTCAAAACTTTCTGAAGAGGGGCAGTCATGTTTGCAGAAGTATTAATTATGCCATCTGGTAAGCCATAAACATCAGACTTTAAGGAATACATTTCCTCATAAACTTGCACAGTTTTCCCAGGGAAGACCACTATACTACTGCAACCATGGCTTTCTAGAGGTTTCTGATTTAAATTATCATGTTCTCCCCTCTCTAGTTCAGTGACTACCAGCTGGAGCTTCTGAACCCTTGGTTCTAACCAAGGTCCCTCTGCTTTAACTGTGATTACATTTTGGCAAATGTTCAGCAGTAACAATGGTTGTCATAAAGGGCCTTTATTCCACTGGGATTTGTTGAAACTCTTGCAGTTTTCCTTTTCCTCTGCTGTTGCAACAGTGTGGGGTTGCTCATAAATGACTCAGCGCGGTTTCGCATAGTGAAGCAGGTGTGGGCAGCAGCTGTCTTGGTACTGAGGTGTAACTGAAGTGTCTTTTGGAGCTGAATAATCCATCTTTTCCTCCTAAAAAAGTTGATTGTAAGAACATAAACTGAAAATCTTTATTCAACTTCAGGGCTTGTTCCAGGTTCATAAATCCCCCTTCTTGTTTGGTGAGGATGGCATTCTTGTGAGCCTTTCTTTATTGTAGCTTTTCTTTAACTGCAGGAGATACATACCATTACCCTACCTTCATGAACCCTGTTTGTGGAATAAAAATGTTTTGGGGACTTTCATCCATTACAGACTAATGTCAAGGAAAAAACTTGACAGAATATACTGTGAAACCTGTTGTATTCAATTTTTGTTCTAGGAGAATCAGAGCAGTGTCCACTTCTCAGCAGGTGTATTCTTTAGTTAACCTTAGTAGATAATGCTTCTTTATTTTTATTTAAGAGATGATGGTAATGACAATTGGTAATGAAGAGAAAAACTAGTTGACCTGGCATCTTACATGCAGGAAGATGCTTTGTATTCTCACATCGACCTCCACTTCATTCATTTGAAAGTTGAGTCTTCATTCCAGTTATAGTTGATTCCATCAGACAACTGCATTTTTATTATTATACTACTTACTTTGGTTCTCTTTTTGTTTTTCAAGTGTTAAATAGAAAAAAACTTTTCTCGAACTTCAACTTTTTCCTTGATAAAATTACTTTCCATAAGATTCCCCAGGAATTAGAATAGTATGTGCCAATTTGCATTGACCTGAATCATTCAGTATTGGACCCTATATTTCTCTGACTTTTCAAGATTGGTGGGGATTTTACCAGTGTACAGAGTATGTGAAGGGAGGGTTCAAAGAGGGAGCCAGCCTCTTTTTTTTTGGCATCCTATGACAGGACAAGAAGAATGGGCACAAATTAAAACACATGAAATTCAATCTGAATGCAAACCAGCTGTTTCATGGAGTAATTCTGCCAAAAATGAGCACAGTAATTCATGCTTCTTTCTCAAAAGAAGAATTTTGACCAATTTTTGCAGCAGCTTAAGTGATTGCTGTTACCAAGTTTACTTGAAAGTATTCTTAATATACTGAAAATCCAGTATAAATCAGTGAGGTGAAGTTTCAAATCATGTTGCAAACAGAATTGGTATGTTGGGGGGTGAGGAGAGATCCACTGCAGGACCTCTTCAAGATAAGTCAAGTACTGGTACAGTTTTACAGGTTATCACTTTATTTATCCTACTGTTCTAATTTGTCACTTGAATTTGACATAATCTTCAAAACTTCTGTTCTTCCTTCCAAACTACTTCTCTTTTCAGTTTTTGGTTGGATTTTGGGGCATGTTGTTTTGTGGTTGAGGGTTTTTTTCCCCTTAATCCGCTATCAGTACCAATTGGAAGCACAGTCTGCTTTTACAGTCTCGAGAGAACAGAGTAAATATAAATACACTGTGTAGCTACTAGTACTCACTATTCCTTTTGTACAGTTATTTTGTGTGTTGAAGGCTGCTTGCTATGTAGCTGAAAGGTCAGAGAATTGCTTCTTTTAGCTACCATGATCCTCTTCAGTACATTCTTTTCTAACCATCTGTGAAACCTGAAGTGCTCTTGCTTAGATGCCTGTGCTTGAGCTTAGGAGTTGCCCTCTACCATCATCTGGAGTTACAGCTGTGCTTTTAGTGAAATGCTTGAATAGACATTGTCTGTGGGTTCTTCCATGAAATTGGCCTTGCTTATCTAATCTGAGTTATCTGGTGCTATAGGTGATCTTTAAATATACTTGCTCTGTGTAGGCTCCTGTTCTGAGCAGCCTTGGCAACCAAGCAAGTTCGATATATTTGGGCTAAATTTAAAATAAATCTACTTGCTGCTACTTAGAAAAGCTATTGAAGGAATTTTTTGAGGAGAAAAGGGGTAAAGAAGGTAAAGATGCTTTTAAAAAAGTATTGTTTATACTAGGGAGGCATGAAAACTTAGCTTTTAGAAAACATGAGAGCCATAGACAGTGCCCATCATTTTTCAGAAAGTTAATTTAAGAAATCAAAAAAACTTCCAAGGTTCTAAAAATCACTTTTATCCCAAAATCAGATGAAAATAATATTTAGGGGTGGGAAATCTCATCTTTTAGAACAGGAAAGGTTTGAGAGTGATGGTCATCAAAGCTTTTGAGAGCAGCCATCCTGGCAGGGCTGGCAGCTGGGTGGCTGATGCTCTTGTGGATGCCAGACAGAAAACCAGCAGGGAAAGGGCAAATTTTCCTTTCAATTCTTTTTTTCCTTTGAAACTTGACCAAAATATATGGAATCTGTAGACATTCTCCTTTTTTACCCCCTAAGCAAAAGCAGTGTTTTCAGATACGCCCAAAAAAATCTGCTGACACTTCTGAGAGTAGCCCTTGGCTTTTAGAATTAGGTGGGTTTTAAATCCTCATGAGCGATGTGACCTGTAAAACATTATTGTTCATTTTATACAATTTGTCAGTCAGATTTGTTATCCAAGGAGCAACTGTCTGAGCAAGTTGCAGAGTTTATTTCCTCTGCTGCTGCTCTTTATATAAAAGGTTGCTTTGTGGATAGTGTATTTTTGCGTTGTGCAACTCTTATTTTAAATAGCAAAGAGATATCAAGTTTTGTTCATAATACCTGATGATAGTTTCTCTGTTCCACACATTCTCAAACAGCAGTTACCTTGCTCTTTTACCTCCTTACCTGACTTTCTGGAGTGCATTTTTGTGATTTCCATTCTTCTAACAGAATGAAAATGTACACAGATACCAGATATTTCTTCATCAAGCAGCAAGGTAGAGTGCCAGCATTATGTGATCATTTGTTGCCTGATGGTGACAGTGCAGTCTGATGAGATGAGGTGATAACATTACGCTAAGCTGTGTGGAGGGATTTGTCATGGGGCCAAAATAGTGCCACTACAGGTTTCATGTAGATGAGCCTGAGCCCAGCACAGGGGAGCCACTCCTGCCTTCTGCCATCTCCCCTTCTCTCAGCAGAGCAAAGAGATGCCCAGAACTGGGTGGAAGCAGAAAACAATGGGATTTCTTGCAGACACTTTGCAATTTTCATATATAGCTAGAAGACAATGGCTCTGTCACACTTGGTGCTAATTGAAAAGAAAGCATTAATGCCATATTGTCAGGCTTATTCCCTCAAGACATTTCTGAAATCCTTTCAAAATGTACCCACCCCTTCAAAGAGAAGTGCAGTTGTTTGTTATTTCTCGTAAAGCTAATTTGCATCCATAAATAACATTGTGCAGATTCTGGGAATGAGAAACACAGCTTGGTGAAGGTAAACCACAGGTGGTATGCCTTTCAGATACTTCCAAGTTAGATTTAAACTAAGTCTGTCCTCCATGTGGAAATATTGAAATGAGGAAGCACCACCTAAAGCCACACAGTTTTGTTTGCGGGGAGAGCAGGACATGCTCAGCAGTAACTGGCTGATCTTTTAAGCTTGTCAGAGGACTGCTGTTTATGACTTGTAAAATGCAGTCTGTGCTACTTGTCTGATCCTGAACCATATGCGGTGAACTGCAATCCCTGAATGTGTTTGGTGGTACTGTTTTATATAAAACCTAATGAAAGTTAATTCTCTACCCCACCAAAATACTGCGAAGTTTGAGAGAGATGCTTTAATTTTGTGACAAACTCTTTTAAGATGTGGACAAATTTCTGACACTGGGCTTGGAGCATGAACTGAATTGCCCACAAGAGACCACTGATGTTGGAGTAAAGGCCACAAAGGTGATTAAGGCACTGGAGCATCTGTCATATGAGGAGAGATTGCAAGAGCTGGAGCCTGAAGCAGAGAAGGCTTGGCTGGGGATGAGGGATCTTGTCAGTGTGTGTAAAAGCCTTGTGGTGTGAGGGAATGAAGAGACAACCAGGCTCTTCTTAGTGTTGCCCACTGGCTGGGCAAGTGGCAGCAGCACAGAGTACAACACATTTTTTATTCTGGACAGTGGTCAAAGACTGGAGAAGGACTTCCCTCTCCTGGGTGCAAAAGTTTTGTTGTCTTGCTCTCCACACTATATTAATTTACTAGTTACATAGATTGACTTCAGTTGTCTCAGTGTCTGATAGGTTATACTTCAGTCCTAATTCCATATGAAGCATATCTAAACAGTTTGCCTTTTTTTTCTCCTGTATAGGTTCTGGGAACGCCTACAAGGGAGCAAATTAGAGAAATGAATCCAAACTATACTGAATTCAAATTTCCTCAGATTAAGGCACATCCATGGACTAAGGTGAGTCTATATGATCTGAATAATAAAGACGTGGGCTGAAAGTAAAAATTCAAGTTGTTCAGTTTGTTCGGTGATTTGGTGGCTTTCAGTCTAAACTGGGTGCCTTTAACTAAGCTGGGGACCTGCAAACTTTTTATGTAGCTGAGGAGAAGGAGATACTGAAGCAGTACATTGTACTATCTGTTGGTCTGGGGGTTGCCTGTAGGTGGGTTGTTTTTTGTTTTGTTTTTTTGATCATGGTGTGTGTGTTAGTAGCAGATTGCAATATTCTATATACTATCATGGTATCAGCTGATATGTGCAAAAGTCACATAGAAATGAGGAAAGTGTTCCAATATGTATGTGGCACTTTTGTAGTCCTGTTAAATAGTGTGATGAGGGCTGAGAGTCACTTTCTTAAATGCTTCTCTCATAGATAATATTCTGTTTGTACTTCTGTAGGTGTACTGTTGAGTGGAGATATTTTTTCTTGGAGTTACTTCTTAAGATTTCTTGTTATCTAGCTTTCATAGGGAGACACCAATGCAGTATACACAGGCAATAAATACTATGACCTCCATGACCAAAGAGGAAACTGCTAGCAATGAAATAAATACATTGCTGCACAATTAATTGTTCTTCCACATATCAAGCAATGATGAATATTTGACTTCAGACAGAGTAGCAATCATTTAGTCAAACTCTTGGGTGTGGAATAAGTTAATACTGAGTCTCAAACAATTGAAGCCTGGGTAGTTAACATTTCCTCTGGCTGCTTGAGAAACGTCTGTTATAGTCACAGGGTATTTCCATCCTGTCTCAGCACTCAGGTTTCCTTCTCCTAAGAAAGTAATATCTGTGTGTGGAAGGGTTGCATGCCTAGCTAAGCACATGTCCAGGGAAGATTCTTTTCAAATACTCTATGGCAGTAGAAACATTGAATAAATTAATTAGAGGTAATTGATAGCAGCTCATATATCAGACAGGTACATGGCAGGGCAGTACTATACATCACTGTTCTTGTGATAGATTCTCCAATGGTTTATGTACCTTTTCCCCACTAATCCATGGTTTGTGTTTCCATCTCAGAGTTACTTTCTGTGTGTTGGTTAAGTGATGTATAATAGTATGGGAGGTTAGTAAATCCAGCAAGGCTTTTTAATACCTTATGTGACTGAGGGAAAAAATTAGAGCAGATGAAGTCCCTGGGAGTGATTTCTTCAGTTGTGAATTGTATCCTGGCAAAAGTCACATGAATAAGCCCAAAAACCTTGTAGCACTGAGTATTAGGTTCGCATCTGGATTTTTGCATTGAAGGCATTCAGATTAGGGGAGGTTAAATTAATGTACAGTGGAGTAGAAGTGCAGAGCTGTACTATAGGACATGGAGTTGAGTTACATAGTTAGTTGAAATGCTTATCTTAGCTTGAACAGTCCTATAAATCATCTGTATGCATTTGATGGTCTCTTAGAACACAGCTTTTAGCAAATGGAAGCCTCACGAAAGGACTGAACTTCCTTCTATTTATAAAGAATGGGGGTTTTTTTTGTGATAGTAGAGGATCACAGATGAAATTAAGAAGTGAGATAAGCTTGCCAGGAGATCAAATTTGCATTCTCCATTAGGTCACAATTAGTTTTGGAGAGTTGTGCTTGCAGTGTAGCTTCTCATTCTCAAATCATTCTGTGTACAGCCCTTCCTCATGTCAGCTGGGTGTAGAATAGCATTTAAACCAGTTTATTGCAATTGGGTTACATGAGACTTCATTTGTGAGATCTGTACTTATTATACAAAGGCTAAATTTAAGAAATGGATTACCCAGCATGATGCTGGGATACTTATCTTCTTTATCTTCTCGGTGTATTACTTCTCAAGATCCTTTCCTTTCAACGATTTGAGCATGTTGAGCCATGATAGATTTAAGTAGTAGTATTACATAGAATTGGTTCTTCTTCCCAGTTGTATTGATAGAATGTCTGACAACATGTCAGTGGGCATAGGCAATCCTCTCAGAGCTTCTCTATCTTAGACTTGAATAGTGACAGAAACCTCGTCAGAGCTTTGGCTTTGCAAAAACAGGTGTCTGAAGAAGTGAAAGTGATAATGTTGTTGGTTGTTTTTGTTCTTTTGTTACAACTGTATATGTAACTAGACTGCTGCAGCTAGTTGCCAACAGGACTTGAACTTGCAGCTTCAGAAGCACAAATCTTTGCCATCTAAGCTGAAGAATTATTGAAGATGACAATAGGCAGAAGGTGGCTATTTTTGTTGAGTAGTTATGACCAGAGGACTCGGCAGACAGAAGGATTTTTTGTATGTGTGAAATTACTTCCAGGCAGCTACTTTCAGTGTGTTTGAAAGAGAACTACTGAGAATATGGTCAGTCCCTGCTGTAAGCTCTTAGACACAAGACCATTCTCCTTGTTTTGTACTGTGTAATAGAACATGGGTATTTGTCAAAGTTGGGTTTGTAGGCCCTGCCTGGAGTTAGTTTCATGCATTCAAGGTGCCCAGTGCATGTTTCTATGCAGTCCTGAACTGGTTGCTTTCAGTGTCTATACAAAAATAAGGTCTTATTTTCAGGGGACCTCCTTGGTCTGCAAAAGTGTGCATAGATGGCAATTAAGAATTTTCTTTGGAAGCTGTAGTATCTGTAGGTTGCACCTCAAATTCTGTGGTGCTGACTTGAATAGGATGTATCTGGTTCTGGTCTGCTCTCAGGCATTTCTGGGAGGCACAGATATGTTGCTTTCCTACTCAGTATTGCTGTGATGATGTGTAATCTGCTTACACTTGCTGTTATCTACTTGTGAAGAAGAATGGTGGCTGGTGCTATAGTGGAATGTAAAATATTCTGGGTTTTTTAAAGAGATAGAGAAATTGTTTAACTCTGAAGACAGACAAATCTATGAAGGAATATTATTTTTCAGATTCAGTACATTTTGGGCTAAAATTGGAATTTTGAGCACAAGTTTTACAGATGTTTGAATCTGAACTTCATAGATGAATGTCAGGCTTTTTTGTAAAAATGGATTGGTATTATCCTAATTATCCTAACCACAGTATTGATACCTTCCTTCTTCGATTATGAGAGAAGTCTAACACTCTAAAAAGTACTTTCCTATGCTGCAGCAATAGTATGAGTTTGCACTGCAAACTGTTCTCAGACTGATTTCTCAATTTGTTGATAATTTGAGATTGAAGTAAATTTGTATCTTAAGAGTTGGACTCTCCCCTTATAAAACTTACAGAGGCCTCTCTCTTGTCTCCATTATAGTTTTGTGTTGGCCCAGCATGTGTGTGTTTTTATATCAGTTTACATACATGAGGCACCAAATGATGGAAGTTCAACATGTCCTTGGCTAGCCAAAGAAAAGAGAATCTGGACTTTCCAGGAATCTCTCAAACCATTCTTCAGAAACAGGGCTTCCCTCTTCTTTTCCTCTGTCACCTATCCCTACAACCCCAGCCTCAACAGGAGGAATCTAATATATTTTGGATTATATTTAGCAGGGGGGTCCTTTTCAGAATACCAGTGTGTTTAATAACTTAAATGTTCTTTTCATCCAAACCTCCCTTTATTTTCACTTTGTATAGACTATTTTGTATTCATGGAGGTGCACCTACAGCCTTCTGCTTTGGTCTGTGAAGTGGCATCCTGTTAAAAGAGAAGCAGTGTTTTGTGTTAAAAGAGAGGCAGTGTTTTGCAGGGGTGTGAATATGGCTGACTTACAACAGTCAGAAAATAATAGGTAGGCTTTTAAGCACACAGTCATGTCTTCAGGTATATCTTGGGTTGGAAAACCAGTCCATTTTTTCCAATGATGTCAGCTCATAAAATAAAAGTTACTGCCCTTTCTGGAGATTTGCTGCTATTGTTTTTACTTGGTCATATTTTTGCTTCTGTGTCTTTGAGCCACCTCGATCCCTTGAGCCTTCTTTCTTCTCAGAAGTGCAGTCTGATCTGTGCTACTATACCAATCTTTATACTTGTTTCTGTTCTTCTGACTAAGCTTCATCTACACCATATAACTCTGTGACTGGAAAACCAAAGAGGAAATCCAGGATCAAGTGCAAGACTGTAAATCACAGGGCTGTTGAAGTTCAGCTCTGGTGATTAGTTTTCTGTGGATCTTTTGGCCCTTTTGGAAGGGGGCAGGGGCAGTGGGACAGCCAAGAAAAGGTCTAAAGGCATTCTTCATAAGCTGGTGGTAGATTGGTGTTACTTACCGTGGCCCCATTACAGCTGCCCTTTATCCTGGCATTACTCAGATGCTACCTTTAGGTCTCAGATCCCTGCAGGAATGAAAAACAAAGGCAGTGCTATGATGACGTCCAGAAATATATAAAATGTCCAACTGTGACAACCTTTCCTCTTGCATCTAGGCAGTAAAGGATCTTATTAAGATTGTAGTAAATGTAATAGAATTGTGTAGTTTAGGCCCTTTCTGTGTAGGGAAAATTACTCTCTTGGATTTTTTCTTTTCTCCACCCAAGGATACTGCCACATGTTTGCAAATATAATGTCAGGATAATGAAAGATATGTATGCATATATATGCCCATGTTTCATGATGGCAGAACAATACAAGTTGTAACAGCAAAGGCAGTTTACTTAATCATAACCTCTGCCTTGTCTCCATTGTAGAGACATGGAAACAGTTTCTTCTGCAGGCTGCTCTTAAAAATGGAAAGTCTCTTCAGTCTGCTGTGGTTTGGTTGCCTTTGTTTCTCCTGTTCTGAAAGTAGTTGCATGATTTTTCAAACATGCAGGCATTTTTAAATACTTTTGGTAAGATAAATTCAAGTGTACTCAAGAGAATGGCTTTATTCACCATCCCCAAATCTATACTTAGCTGGTGTGTGAGTAATAATTTCCAAGTAAGTGTTGAGTTGGAAAAAGACAGGAGTCATTTGCCTGACAGGGGAAGAGACAGGGAGAAATCTGTCATGTTTAGATTACTTTTGAGCATGTCTGCCCCTCTCTTGTGCAGTCTTGTGGATAAATACATGAGGACTTT